CATTAACAGCATCCCCCCTCCTGTTTATAGGCTCCTTTCAAGCACTGGAAGGCCACAATGAGGTTTCCCCTTCCCCCCCTACCTTCTCCTTAAAAAAAAAGAGGAAAAGTGAACTGTTATAGTTCATGGCAATTGACAAACTCCCATCTTCATATTAGTTCTTAGCTCTGAGAGCCTGGAAGCAGACATACTCAGTACATCTCACCTTTCTGTTTTTTATTACTTTTTAATCGCAGTCCCCTCAACCAGGATCAGAGCCCATAGAAATGAAGCCTTTATCCAAAGCCTGTATTGCAGTTCAGAGAGCAATTCGGGCCCAGCTGGCCTGCAGCAGCCACGCTTCTCACATCTGTCTTCAAGTCTGCTAGCAAACAGCTTTCCCACTGCCATGTTTAATAGGTACAAGGCTCCACCTTGCTGTGTTTTTGTAACGGGAAATGCCTCTGTGTGAACTGATAGCAAACCTCCCAGTCAAGAGCTTTTATGTAACACCGCTCATTTTTCCTTGCGTGCCATCATTCAGAACTGAAAAACATTTGCAAAGGCATAACTAGTTCATGCAGCGATTTCCTCACTGCGTGTGAGGAAACAAAGGCTTCTCATCCTGCACGAGCAAACACATCATGCCCACTTGTGCCCAGAACTCCATGCCCACACAACACGTACACACTGCTGCTCCAGGCTGCAGCACACCTCCTTGAGGCACAGCCAGCACTCACAGCACTGCCCTGCAGCTGCACTGTTCTCCCATCGCAGCAGTACCAGCCATAACCCCGAGGAGCTGTGAGCACCCAGCAGCCCTTCCTCAGTTCTGCACTTCACAGCAGCCTCCAAGTGCTTGGACAAAGGCTTAACTCGACCTGAAGATATCTCATCCTTTCCACACATACCTAATTCTTTTGCTAGACTCATGTGTAATTTAAAACCAATTAACTGAATGGAAGGAAAAAAGCCTTACACTGAAGAAAAACAAATGAGTCTTCCTTGACCCTGTAATTATGACCACACTACCCAGAAAAACAATGCAGTACTGACCACGAACTCAGCCTGACCCGCTGAACTGCTAACACAATGTATTCACAGCACTCTTTCCAGAGTCACTCTGCACAGGGACGTTATGACAGTGCTCACACAGCAGCAAGTTGTGCTTAACAGAACCACGCACCTCACCCTGGCATCCAGATGCTTTGTTGTAGGCTTCTACTATAAACGTTTACATGTTTTTCCTCAGGGTAAACTAAAGGAATAATTTTCTTAGCCAAAATAATACTTTAGAAGATATAGATTTCATACAAGATGTGTACAAGGAAGAGCTCCTCTCCTGCGAGACATCCTCATTTGTTAACATCACTTTGACAGCCTCATTCCTGAGCGCAACAGTCTGAAGAGGTAGATGCTAAGCAGTGCTATAATTAGCATGTAATTTGTTCTCAACTTCCCACTCCAAAATAACGAGATGAAAAAGCTGCTGGCTAGGCAGAAGGGATAGCAGGGCTCCCAGCCACGGTGCAGGTCTCCCATGGAATTGGGGGGACACGAGTGGGAATTCACAGGCTCACAGCTGCTCCCCACCAGTGACCAGCATCAAGCCTCAGTTCTAGGCTGCTCAAATAAGGCTGATATCCAAACACAGGCATCCTATGTTGTTTGAAAGCTGATGACTTGAAGCTGCAGGAAGCCAAGTGGCACTGCTGCCCACAGAGCCTTCAGGCCACATCCCTGTGCAAGCTGCATGCCAGCCTGTAGTCGTTATGTGCAGAACATTGACCTTGAGCTCATCATTGTTTAGTTGTGTAGGAGAAAAATGGACTTTTCTCCACATGCCTCACCAATAAGCTCTGCTGCAAAGGAGACAAGAAAGTTCTTGGGCACTAATACTCACTGGAATTTTCTGTTGTGCCACTTAAAAGTAAGAGTGAGCCAAGAATACAGCGGCATGTCGCATTCATTTTATCATAAATATATCAATCTCCATGTATTTCATGCTAATTAGGAAAATTAAGCAAGGTAGCCTATGAACGGCATCAGGCGAAAGCCCAAAGAGCAGCGGCACCCCACGTTTGAGGAAGGCCATGTTCTGCATCAGCATTGCAGAGCAGGAGTCCCCTGGGGCCCTGCCTGAGGTCCTGGAAGCACTCCTTGTGATGCACCGAGGTCTCCTCAGAATGGCGATTTACACCTAAATTACTTCTGTCATTAAGCTCGGACCACTATATTAGATTCCCATTGTTCAAAACAAAGGGTTCTTTTTGTTGGCTTTGCTCCCACAGTTATTAGATTAAGCAGGTCATTAAGAAGTAGTTTACCAGGGTCTCTCATAGATGCGATTCGGTGGCGATAAACAGAGCAGATTTTTGAATCCATTCAGAAAGGAAAAAACGCACGTGGCATTTGACAGCTCTACATTGGAACTGAGAATTTGACCCACGGGTTCGTGACGCACTGTGCTCCTGGAACACCCCACTGCCTAATGGCTACAGAAAGCAAGGGCTCATCTCCTCTGCTAGCAGCTAACTTGCCTTTGGTTTTGTTTCTGTAAGTAACAAGTTGAGCACAGGATACATTTGCTGTAAAGTAGCAGATTCACCTTTTCTGAAACAGTTTTCCTTTGGTTGGAAGCAATTATTAAGGGGTCTCCGGTGTGCACTGGGCTGACACCAAAGCCACAGCTGTGCCCTGCCCCCCTTCCCAGCTACCATTAAAACAATGCTCCAGAGAGACAGGAGAGAAACTAGGGAAAAAATTAAAGTAAAACGTTTATCTGCAACCACCACATGCTGCAGATAAATGCTTTCGGGCTGTTGTGGGCTTGAACTTCCACCAGAGCAAAGTTCCCCTTGCACAGCATCATCCTTTTATTATTCAATTAGAGCTTTGGCTAAGAACGGCTGCCCTTTCTATCTGTAAACTGAATAAGCTGTGCCCACTGAACTGTGCCCACTTCAGGAGTGACCCCCACCAACTGCCTGTGCTTTACACCAAGCTCGAGCGTCGGAGGTGCAGGGACCACAGTGTGCAAAGCATCACCGGGAGAGCAGAGCTGCTGCTTCTCATCCCCGTGGGCTTTGTTTCAGAGCTGTGGCAAATCTTCACAAAGACGAAGTAGCAGCACTGACCATCGCTCTGCAGCTATCCCATGGGCCCTGAAGAGAAATCTTTGGATGCCAGCAACCAAGGAGCATGCACACACCGGGACAATCAGCTCGCTGCACACCTACACCTGGGACAAGCAACGTTTTCTCCCACTCAGAGCAGATTCCACGCTATTCTAGCATCTCACAGCCTTTGTAACAAACAATAGCGTGCATTTGTCAGCAAGTGAAAGCTTAAGGAGAAACATCTGAAAGCAACCAGTTTAGCCAAGGATTCTCACCCCTCCTCCTCTATCTACCCCGTGACACACAGCCACGAGCAGCGCTGACAGGAATACACGGGGATGTGGGGCTGCCGGCCTCCAGAGCCCCGATGCCATCACAGCCTCCAGGCAGAGAGCCCACACAGACCTTCCCACACCACGGGCCTCTGCCCAGGGACCCCCCAGCCTGGGCAGCACCGTTTGCCCTTAGCGCTCTTTCACCATCTGCCAGAGGTAGATAACGCACAGACTTAACTTACAGCAAATGAGTTGTCAAAGCTTATCACTCCCATCCCAAATGGGAGCATTCTGGAGGAAAGAATAAGCTAATTAGATATACGTACAAAACGTTTTTGCGAGCTCTCTTTAGATGTAGATGATATCTCCCAGGTGGAAAACAGATTGCTCGTTTGTTCAGCCAGCTCGCTGAGGAACAAGTTCCTGACATTTTTGTTATTATTTTTATAGCTATATTCATGAAGTCTTGTGGTTGATAAGTAGGGCAATTTGCATCGCAGAGAGATACGTGGCACTCCACCCAACCCAGCAATGCAGCTTTAAGCACCGAAGGAAGCGGGACCCGGCACGGTGACTGCGGGCCCCGCATCTCCAGCACGCGCCGCAGCCGCCGCTGCCTGGCAAAGCGCAGTCGTTAGAGGCACTTGTGGCACCTTCAGCTCCTTTGTCTTCAATCACCGAGATGCCTGGCATTTCAAAAAGTCAAGTGGGGAGGATTAGACTCAGCTAAGAAAAATATCTCCGCACAGAGCTTGCAAATACCAGTTTGAATAGGAAGCACGCTCACAGGGAAGGGCAAAGCAGAAGCTGTTCGCCATTTGTTTCCATTATAAAAAGGAAGAGGACCGCAAGCACCGAGCACCAAGGCAGAAAGACCTACCCGGTGGTGATCAGAGATAACAAACGCTTTTGTTAGGGGCAAAGCGCTGGCACGCCTTCCTTGACCCCTCATTAGTGCCTGCTGGGGGTCCGGGAAGCCCCACACACCGGCCCAGCAAATCCCCCGGCTCTGTTGTAGCTACGAAAAACGTCACACGAGGCAGCAGAAGGAAAAAATTAGAGTGCACAACATTTCAACCCAGCACCGTCCTGTTTTGTACTAAAATCCAACAGCAACTGTGAATAAAAGACCAAGAATCTGCTTGTGCCCAATTCCAAATCAATTCTGAACATAAGCACTTGACATCAGTTATTTATCCTTTATGATGTGCACATAGCAGTGACTACACTGAGGTTATAGCATACGCTTACGTGATTCTTGTACCATACATCACCTAAATTCAAACCAATATATCCTCAAGAACACCACTACATTAAATCAGGAGAGCACACCAGTGCTCCTCCAGTCTTCCTACAAACATAAAAAGTGCTTCAGCCAGCGTGTAAGACCCTCCTTGTTTATGAAATGCAGTTTTGTTCCAAACCAACCTCAATCTTGCCTTTTTCCTTTAAATAAGAAGCAATGGTTTTCATTTCTCTTATATCTTCCATTCACAAAAACACTGGTAAAATCTTCCTTCAAGCAAGGAAAAGGTAACTTTAACATTACTCATTACTTACAATTTTACTGAGTCTTTAGACCAGTCCAGCCAGCACAGGAAATAATAGAAACATGTACAGCACTTACCCTTGGGATATTTGGAGTAAGTTTCGTTACAGCCTTCTTTTCCACACCACGCTTTCTCCAGCACAAACACACACCTTCCCCCAGCAGCACAGCCCGCAGATAAATCCAGCCCAGCACTGCTCCCCCCCAGCTGCAGGCCTGGCCCTAATGCTGATGTGCTGCACCTGGCCCAGGGGCGTTCCCTGCTGCAAGAGGCACCTGCTGCAAGAAAGGGGCAAGGAGCTGAGCAGGGAGGCTGTGATTGAGGAGCAAGTTGGAGGGCAAGTGGCTGAGATGGCCAGCTTCTTTTAGGTGGTGCAATGGTGTAGTGATAGCTCTTTCTCTCAGTCCTTTGAGGAGGAAGAAGAGGAAGGGCAGGGGCCTGGCCAGCAGTGCAGGTTGCGTCTTGGGGGAGCAGCACAAATAGGAAGGGAGCAAGTTGGGTGTGTAGGCACGTGAGGGGGTTAATTAGCAGCTGCTGATAGTTACCCTCTAATACTTATCCTGAGAAAATAACTGTTATTTAGGTACTCAGCGTGCATGGCATTGACAGAATGGTTTTATCTTCTCCTTTGTGAGCTGATGGAAACATTACACAGATGTATTTCTGGAGCTAATTGGAACGATCCTGTTCTCTCAGTTGGCTTGCCTGGTTTAAATAAGCCTCCTATTAACTCAGTCATTTTCTTAATCCAGCACTAGACTTTTAAATACTGTTATTCCTAATGCAGCAATGACTTCAGTGTGAGTAACTCTGCTCCCTGGGCACATCCCTATATTGATAATGTGACTTAAGCCCTGATGCATACACCTCCAATACTCTGATATGCAATTTGAAAGGCTATTACTTAAGGGCTCAGGTCGCTGGGAAAATAATTCAGCTGCTGAAGGCACCTCCTCTAGCAGCAACGTGGTGCTGTGGCTCCGGCCTTGTGGGGGTTGCTGATCCCCTGCCCCAGGGATGCTGGCACCATCCTGCAGTTCTGTGATCCCCATCGCTGCACCTGTGGTTTTCAGAGGACTGGATTTTGTCTGTGCAAGATGTGAAATACCTGCACCGTGCGTCTGCCATGCAAACAAACACCTCTGCAATGGGCTGATGGCTCTCTGGGCAGCAGTACTCGCATCCCTGCCAAGTCTTTCCTTCACAAAGAGGACTTCAGGAGCTGCTCTTCTCTGGATGAAGTGCAATGCAGGGTTTTCCAGCCTGCTCACCCATCTACAAAGCATTTTTCCTATTTTCTGCCTTCCTCGTATGGCAAATAGGATGACCATGCAAATTAACAGATCGCCCCATTCACTCTGTTACTCTGAGCAACATTTAATTAGTAGCAAGGCGTAGCCTACCAGGAGGACCTCGTGTTTACCAGACACAAACTGTGCCCAGCAGCCTCAGCTGGCAGCACACCACGGATCAAGCTGCTCCCCATGGGCTGAGCTGCTCCCCATGGATGAAGCCAGCCCAGGCTGGAGGGTGCCTCGGTGCAGATGGGCTCTTTGCACAGCGTCGTGCTGTAATTTGTAATTGACAGTTCTCTTGTGAGAGCTTCCCAGCCAAATCAAGAGATTGTTCTCCAAAGACAGGCAGCTGGGTAAATGTCAAGAGCTCAAAAAGTAAATTACAGTGCAAACAGGTTTGATATTTCTATGAAATGAAAGTTAAGCACATTTCTTCTTAAAATACAGAATTTTATTTAAAACAAGTGAAAACCTTCTATTGTGACCTTTATGAGATTCCAAACAGTGACGAATTTGGTCATTACAAATAACCTTTTCCAAGCAAGAGCTTTACCAATGGGGACTTCCTTGCAGTAATTTGTGTGAATTGATTTCCATCCTACAAAACAATAAATAATATAAAAATCTACTAGGGTGCCTAATCTACATTAAAACATATAGAATGGAAAAACAAACCAAGAGGGAAGTTCTGCTTTCAAGTGTCCCTGTGAGATATTTCATTTTGTGCCAGCTCTGTAACTCCTCTGCTACATCAGCCGCGACAGCTCTGCCAGATGTGCCCTGCTATCTGTCCTGCCATGAACCCAAAGGTGGGATGAGATCATTAACTGGGGATTGCTGGCACGTTTAAAGCCCTCACCATCCCTGCAGTGAGTACCTGGTTGCTGGCCAAACTACAAATATTCCTGATTTTTCATTGTTGTTTCAACTTTACATTGACAAATACTATTCCGTATCTGTAGATTAAAAAGAAAAATCGCTGGCCACTGAACGAAACCTGAAGCTCTAATTAACTCACAAAGCTCCCAACACATCTCACGACATAAACATCAAACCACTTTCTAGCTCTTTGAAATAAAAGTTTCCTTTTAGCAGTGAACACTACGATTTTTGCTGTGTTTTTACAGCAATAGACGACGGCTTTCTGTGTGCCATCCATGGCTGCGTTTGGCTACAAGCACACAGCAGCAGGGGAACAGAACCAGCTTCGTGCAGCTGATCCATAGCAGCACCATGGGCTGCAAGCTGCGGCCCACCTGCAGCAGCGCGGCCATCCTGGCTGCAACCGTGCAGCACCAATCCTTGCTGCCCCCCGGCTCCTGCTGATGGGAACAGGCCCATTGCACCCCAAAGAGTGCGGGCTGCCAGCTGTTGGGATTCCCCTGTTCAGGCTCCGGCAGGTTCTGTCTCCCCAGGGCATCCTGCATGCTGTGCTGGTCCCGCTGTCCCAGGCTCCTGGGCCTCACAAAGACCATCAGTGCAGATAACTGCTGGGCTGATACAGAGATTCCTTCTATTTGCTGAAATGCAGCATTTGTCAGGCAGTCACAGAATCACCAAGGCTGGAAAGAGATCATCCAGTCCAACCACCCTCCTACCGCCAGTATTTCCCACTAAACCGTGTCTCTCAGTACAAAATCTAAATGTTTCTTGAGCACCCTGAGGGTTCATTAGCTGGGATGGAAAAGATTGTGTAAATATGACAGTACATTTAGAAGTATCAGTAATAAATTCTTTCACATTTCATAGGTGTCGTAACTTTATTTCTGCCTTAATATTCCCTGACAAAATGTAGTGTTTGCTATTGAATTATATCCAACATTGGAAATACAATATCTCCTCTGTTACTGAAAAAAACAAAAAAAACAACAATGCAGAAACCAGTATATAGCAAGCAGAATGTTAGAAATTTTCTTTAATGGTTAAATAATTCAGCTTACTCAATTTAATTCAGCATTTAAAGGCTGCCATTTCATCAGTGAATGTCACATGCCTTTAGAAAATCAACAGGTCACCACACAAGGCAAGAACAGGCATGGTCTGCCTGCACTGTGGGGCTCGCTTTCCAGGACAAATTCCCCTCTCATTATTCAGCCTAAACCCCTCCTCCATGGTTTGTGAAGTTTCTGGAGAGTAAACAAGCTTCTGAATCAGTAAAATCAACAAGCAGAAAGTGCAGAAGCCATGGGCTGAGCACACAGGTAACAGAAATCCAGCGGGGGGCGACTGGGGGTCATCAGGAGCAACCCTGCGCTGCTCCTCACGTGCAGCTCTGCACGGCTCTGCATGCAAGTGGTTCTCAAACAAATCACCCAGAGAGGGGATCAGAGCACAAATCTTCTCACACCAACACATTTTGGTGTGAGATAAATACTTTGGCAAAGTATTTATTAAAGAGTAATGCAGTTTTCTAGCTGGAGATGACGCAAGGCGCATGGAGACTTGAATAAATATCGCAGCGGCATCTGCGAAGCAGCGCGACCATCATCAATCTGTATTTCAGAAGAATGAGCAATGCCTCCATGGCCAGGTGTTCCCGTTAATGAGAAATCCTGTGGAGAATTAACTTTAAAAATGACCATTGGGACACTTCAATCTGTGGGTCTCCATCAGATGGGCCAACCGCAGGCAACAAATGAAGACAGGCGGCAGCGAGCGCAGAACCCGCGAGCAGTGCAGGAAGGTTGGGATGCTGTGGGCCCTTGTCTGCTGCTTCTCTCCTCTGTCCAGGATTTGGGGGGCTGTACCCAAATTCAGTAATAGTTTTGGCCACTGACAGAAGTGGCACAGTAGAAACTGTAACTTTTGGGCATAGTTTTCCAGCTTGTGGAGCCGTACAATCAGCCAACCGTAACACGAGCCACCCCAATTTCAGGTACACACGCCAACTTCATTTGGAACCCCTGAAGGAAAAATGTGTGATAGCTGCCAGCCTTCCTACAGCTGCTAGCATATCTATCTTTCAAAGCTCTGGTTTATTTCAGTGCATTTTTACAGCTGGGCTCAAAAGGAATGTTCCAAAATCTGCATAAGAATCCCTGACTTTTCTTTTGGGGACCAAGCACTGGGTGAGAAAAGTCCAGGGCAGAGAAGCTTGAAAGCAAAAAATAATTGAAATCATGCTCGGGGGGGAAAAAAAGAAGAGAACTGCTTTTTAATAGCATAATCCCTGCCCCTTGGGGTTGGAAAATTGATCTCCAATTACTTGTGCTTCCCTCAGATTGCTGCTTTGATCACTGCAGCCCACTGCTCGGCACCTCCCTCCCCGGCCCTTCTGACTGCAGCCAGACTTGGTGGAGGTGTGCAGAAATGATCACCACTTGGATACATTTCCTAGTTCTTGAGTATCGTTAGCGCCCTGGAAACTGCTCAGAAATGATGAATAAAATCTTCGCCTTGAACTCTGCCACTTTGTAAGCACATATAAAGGCGATAATTAATTTAGGTGAGGCAGAAATTTAAAGAATTGGCTTTATTTGTATTGCAGCATTATTCTTTTCTTATCCGTTCCAATTTTAGTAAAGATTAAGAGAAAGCAGAGAGCCGAAATGACAGAACTCATGGAATGAAATACTTGAGGAAGGAGTTCCCCAATTGCCTCGCTTTGCCTCCAGCATTCTCCAAAACATTTTTATCTCCCACGTAACGGTATAATGCTAGACATGTCTCTCCTCTACCCTTCCCTCTTCTCTTCTCCTCTGAACGTTTTCTTCCTCTGTTAGTCATTGTCATTGTGGCAAATAGAGTTTCACAGATTAAATTGCTTTTCTTGTCGTAATTCCAGTACCATAAGAATGTTAATTAGGGTTGCTTATGTTTCAGAAGCTATTTAAATGTACTGTAAGATCATG